AAGGATCATGATCAACTATACTTATTAAACAGAGATTTAAAATGTAGATCTTTTCTTTGGTTTAAGATTTAACATCATGAACTTGGTATTAATCATCAACATTAAGCCTTAAACATTAGATTAAACTTTAAGCATTAGATTAAAAAATTTAATTCACTAAAAACATGATTTTTAACCAAGGGAAAGGTTTGGAGGAAGATGATCTTGCCTCAAACATCGTGTTGAACTCCCAAACACGTGCGTGCAAGATCCTTCTTCACTAAGATCATGAATGACGCCCTCCTCTCGATAACGCCTCACAAACTCTCCCAAAAATCACAATTTAGGGTAAGGGTTTTGAGAGGGGAGGTGGCTGCTAAAATATCACATGAAAAGATAAAGGAAAGAGGTTTAAAATGAATATATATACTTATGTATATAATAGGGCCTGAATCGAAACAAAATCAACCCGAACACCTGCACGAACTCTGGAGCTATGGAAGCCCGTTGGTCATCCCACCACAACCGATCGGTCAACCGATCGGGTACCATAGGTCAACTGATCAGCCTAGGTCGGTCGACCGACCAAAACGCACACTGTGACTGTATGGTTTTGTGCATGTTTACACTCGTTTATTCACATATATACAATGAATCGATCTCAAATCGATTCCTAGCATACTCAACCGTTAATAAATGATATTATCATGATATAATTTATTTATTATTATTTATCATAATATATCCAAAATTACGGGGTTTTACATTCACCTCCCCCCCAAAGAATTTCGTCCCCGAAATTCCGCAATCGTATCTTAGAGATTAATAATATGAGAAAATCACGTTGAGGGGATAATCCTGACAAGGAAACCCTCACATACACATCTTGTATCACTAATCTCCAGATATGAAACACAAGCAATATCTATATTTAACACTCTCAAATGCAAATACTCCCACTTAACCCCTAACTAATCGGAACTAATACGTCAGGCAAAAAATCCAAACAAGAAAACCCCCATGTATCACTACTAGAAACAGGACTTTTAGCGACGGACAAATCCGTCGCTAAAAGTCGAAAATCCGTCGCTAAAACTTTTAGCGACGGAAAAAATAAAATTCCGTCGCCAAAATACCGTCAGTACATTTAGGGTAGCTAAAATCACTTTTAGCGACGGATTTTCCGTCGCTAAAAGTTAGCGACGGAAAATTAGCGACGCAAAATCCGTCGTTCTATTTTTTCAAAAAAATAAAAAAAGAAAAAAATCCGTCGCTAATGTTACTTTTAGCAACGGATTTTCCGTCGCTAAAAGTGTCTATAGCGACGGAAAATCCGTAGCTAAATATTTCAAATATTTTTTAAAAACTTATTTTGAAAATTAAAAAAACTGTACAATAATATAATAAATTTAAAGCACTGTTCAATCAGCAGTATAATATTCATTCCCACGCATATATAACACATATATTTTAATAAAAATATCTTAAGATAATTAAAATTGTTTAATACAACACACACCATGATAAATATTATTTATACATCAACACTCATTGTTTTCAAAGGTAAAAAAAAAACAAATCAGTCCTCCTGATCATCATTCTCATCACCAGCTCCACCTTGTCTAGAAGTCCATGCCTGCAAATATAAATCAAACGTTAACAACATGGCATGACATGCAAGTATAACAATAAGAGAGTATCATGACATATTCTTATGTATTATATGTTTCGAAGAGAGTATTATAGCATATTCTTATGTATTATACGCACGCACATATTTTTATGTACACGCACAACCACCCCCTCCCCCTCCATCACTACCACCACCACCCAATCCCCACACCTCCCCCTCCCCCACCACGACCAAACCAGACACCAACCAAGCAAAGCGATGACTCTTGATGAAGGGCCTTCACCCTTACCACCCTTGTTTACAGAAGGAGTGCAACATGCGACCAGCTTTGAAACTAAAAACTGCAGAACCCCACAATAGGCAAGTCAAACAAGTCTGATAAATGATGATAAATACTATTGGAAAGATGACACTAGAAATACCTGTAACTGTTCTCCAAGCACACAAATTACATTCTTTTTACAGTCAGCTTTGAATACTTCAAGAAGTGTAGAGAGGACAACATTGATAGAGCCATGATTAGCCGTTGCTGCTGCCATAGTACAAATTACAACATTCAAAGCAAGCCAAACAAGATAGAGCCATCCAGAGCTGTGTCTTGGCAATCGCACACTGATTATTAAGCTTAGAGCACATCCTGATGAAGCACATACAATAGATATACTCACTAATTTTGCGTGTAGGCAATATATTCAAGAATTTAACCAAGGGTACAAGAGTAAAAAAAAACATTAACCCAGGAGGTCCATCTGTAACAATGAAACTACAGGGGTAGTAAGTAGAAGACAATGATACTACAGGGGGTCTATGTGCAATTAACCCTAGATTATATTATATAAATTCTCTAAGGAATTGAACAAACTAATGATATACCTGCTTTATCCCACATTGTTTTTCCAACTCATGCTGGATTAAGATCATATCAGTATACTCGGACGGCATTCCAATCTGTATGCTTCGTTTGATAACCTACATAATGTTGAAAAAGGGAATTTAGAAGAGAATACATTCAAATTCAGCATGATCTCCAACCTAACACTAAATGACATTCTTCATTGACATGAACAGTGCACTAATTATACCAGCAAGTTATGTAGATTTAAGTATGTAAGTTTCATAATAGAAGCATTTCCACCAATATCAAGTATCAGGTTCATTTGCATGAGCAGACATGCTCAGCTTCAAGAGCTAATATTTATAGCGTCCAATGACTATAAGAGTCTCCTCAGAATGTTTGTATAATATTCTGATCTATAAAAAAAATGTCATTTTTATAGAATAAGTATAGTTGCCAATCAATAAAACGTAAAAGAAGGTTCAAAAAGAAATAAGAAAATGGATGCTTATATGCCATGACCTCGGTTAATTGATTCCTCACATCCAATTGAAGACAACATTTGCAGGAAATAATGGTTACAGTATGTACCTGGAATTCCACCAGCAGAAGAAAAAAATGTTAGAAACTTAAATGGGTCAACTTGTCTTCTTTGAAGAAAACATGAGCATAAAACATCATTTGGGTCAACTTGTCTTCTTTTCCTTTGTTGATTCTAGTTGTTGACTATATCTCATACTTGCCTTAATCTGACTTCTATTAGTTTGCAAATCATTTGGCATTTTTACTTTTTGAGGTTCTTTTAATAACTTTACGTTGATCTGTGGGTTTCAAACCAATACTACCAAAGCTTTATCCTTGTCAAAACAACCAGAACTGCCAGACAATTCACATTGAGAGCACAAAGCAGAACTGATACCAACATTATGTTAGAAACTTTAAGAATCAGAAGAATAAAACTATTTTTACCCTAAAGTCAAATACAATAGATGAGGAAATTTTGTCGATAGATGAGAGGGATAGCTGAGTTGTTCTTCCTCCTTGACAATGCATCAAATAAAACTCCAGCGAATTCCTTTGGTTCCCTCATCCCTACGATCATTAATTTAAATCATAAACATAATTAATTTTGTCGATAGATAGCTGAGTTGTCAAATAGGAAGAACCTATAGTTTAAGTGAGTTGAGTGCTAGCTCTTAAGGTTCACATCCAGCCTATAGCTTAGAAAAGGTGCATTAAGAAAACAAGATTATGTTTTATAAACTATTTACCTATGCAATGTCCAAACATAAATTTAGACAGTGATTTGATATTATCAGCATGTCCTTATATCAACTTTTATTTTTACATTAATTCTTATTCGAATTCTTCCAGACAAATATATTTCAGGTTTTGATGTTACTTGACAAGCATTTAAATTTTAAAAATACCAACATCTTGTTGTAAGAAATTCCTCATCTAAAAGCAATGTCCTGTTACATCAATTTTCTGACAAAATTATGTATAAATAGAAAACTTATGATTCTTAGCTTAACCATATAAACTGAACAATTCTTCCGACTACGTTGAGATGCAAAATGGAAGTATTATGAGGTGGAACATTGCAAAATATATTATTTTGAATGGCAAACAAATAGTTGGTTCGAGTAACTATTTTTCTTGTGCAAATTCTATTCTAGCAATTACTAATAAGCTTGTAGGTTTTTACCAATGCAATGTGCAATACTATTCTAGCAATTACTAATAAGCTTGTAAGTTTTTACCAATGCAATGTGCAAAGAGAGATTTAGGCAGCACTCCCTCTTTGGCTAACTCATCAAACCTCTTCTCAACTGCAGGCCATCCATTGAAACCGCCAGTCTTGCTAATGAAAACCAATCCTTTCAGTGCCTTGGCTGCTGCATTTCGGTCCATCAGCTTTTCCTTGCAGAGACCATTTTGGCCTAACCCTACATCTCTCTCTCTTCTTCGCTCTCGGTCGGGCGGCGGTTGAGAAGCCAACAAGAGAAAGGGGGGATGAGGAGAGGGAGCTAGGGGAGGGGAAATGAAGAGAGAGGGGGAAATGAGAGAGGGATTTGGGGGAAAATCCCTCTCTCGGGCGCGGGCTGCCCAAATTTTTGGGCACGCCCGCGCCCAAATTTTTTCCAACTTTTGGGTTTTAGCGACGGAATTTCCGTCGCTAAAAGGTTTTTTAGCGACGGAAATTCCGTCGCTAAAACAACTTTTAGCTACGGAAATTTCCTAACAGATATTTCTGTCGGGAAATTAATGGCGACGGAATTTTTCCGTCGCTAATAGTGATATTTCCGTCGGCAAAACTTTTTTACCGACGGAAAAATAGCGACGGATAGTTCCGTCGCTATAACATGACTTATAGCGACGGAATTTTCCGTCGCTAAATTACCGTCGGCAATAGTTCATTTTCTAGCAGTGTATATATCATGTGTTCTGAATGATTAGGAGCTATGTGTTAATACCCCCATTCCAGCGTTAAATATAAATACAACTATATAAATAATCATAAACACAAGAAATTTATAACTAATATTTTAGCTATTCAAATAGGTGTGGGTAGTCCTGACGCATATCTTCTTCGCGCTCCCAAGAAGCCTCCTTAGCTCTTTTCCGATTCCATTGCACTTTCACTAAAGGAATCACCTTGTTTCTAAGTCTCTTGTCCTCTCTAGCAAGAATGCGAACTGGAGTTTCAATATTGGTCAAATCATAATAAATCTCAACCTCTGATGCGTCCAACACTCGTTGCTGGTCCTCATCACGTAAATACTTTTTTAGCATCGAAACATGGAAAACATCATGTATGCTCGATATCGATGCTGGAAGATCGAGCCGATACGAAATGGCTCTACTACATTCCATAATTTAGAATAGACCAATATATCTCGGGGCAAGCTTTCCCCATCTACCAAATCGCTGAACTCTCTTCATCGGCGATAATTTCAATAAAACATAGTCCCCAGCCTGGAACTCTAGCGGTCGTCGCCTTTGATCTACATAGCTCTTCTGCCGACTTTACACTGCAAGAATATGCTCCTGAATTAGTGCTACCTTCTCTGTAGTCTGCGTTACGAACTCCGGCCCAAGTAACAAGTTGTCCTCTAATTCTGCCCAACAAATCGGGGATCTACAAGGCCTCCCATATAACGCCTCATATGATGCCATACCTATAGTTGTTTGATAACTATTGTTATAAGAAAACTCAATCAAAGGGATATGATCCTCCCAACTACACTAGAAATCGATAATACATGCCCGCAACATGTCCTCTAACACTTGGTTGACTCTCTCTGTTTGTCCATCTGTCTGCGGGTGGAAAACACTTATGTACGATGGCTACAAAAAGAATTTTGGAAGCTCTTCCAGAAATGCAAAGTGAAGACTGAGCCTCAATCTAATACAATCGTCTCTAGAACTCCATGTAGTCTCACAATCTCCTAGATGAAAATTCTCGCATAAGTCTCCGTCATATAAGTCGTATTCACCGGTATAAAATGCGTCGACTTTGTCAATCAGTCTATAATCACCCAAATTGAATCATTCCCTTTATTAGATCTCGGCAAGCCCACTATAAAATCCCTAAAAATATATGTCCACTTCTACTCGGGTATAGGTAAAGGCTATAGGGTTTTTGTGGATCTCTGATGTTCTGCCTTTACTTGCTGGCAGGTAAAGCACTTCGATACATACTCTGCGATATACCTACGTATGCCGCTTTACCAAAAATGTCTCTTCGGGTCCTTGTACATTTTGGTTGTGCCTAGATGCACTGTGTACCTAGTGCGATGCGTCTCATCAAATAAGTCCTTCTTCAAATGTGTATTATTTAACATCACTAATTGGCCTTTCATTCGAAGACTTCCATCTGCTCTAACAGTCCAATCATCCTTGGGCTCTTTGGAAATATCCACCTTTCGGGTTTGAATCCAAGAGTCCTCCAGTTGAGTTCTGACCACTCTATCAATCCAATATGGTTGCACGGCCAAAGTTCCCAAAGATGTGCTGCTCCCACCAATCTCTAGCCTAAAATCAAACTAGCTAATGGTGTGAAGGTCTCGATATAACGTGCACCTCAAAGCTGTAAGCTCGCGATGATGTTTCCTATTCAATGCATCTGCTAAAATATTCGCCTTCCCCGGATGATACTGAAGTGCGAACTTGTAATCCTTAATGAACTCGACTCATCACCACTACTTCTGGTTAAGTTCCTTCTAGGATAAAAGATATTTTAGACTCTGGTGGTCCGTGAATAGCTCAAACTGTACGCTATAGAGGTAATACCCCCACGTCTTTAGTACGAAGACCATTGCTGCTAACTCCAAGTCATGTGTGGGATAGTTTTACTCATGAGTCCTCAACTACCTTGAAATGTAAGCTACTACTCTTTGGGTCTGCATCAAAACACCTCCAAGACCCGATAATAACAAAACACCTCCAAGACCTGATAATAATGCATCTAAGTAGACGATAAAGGTCTTATCAATGCTCGGGATAATCAACACTGGCGCTGTAGTCAACTTAGCCTTCAGAGTCTCAAAGGCTTCTTGACACTCTAGCCCCCAAACAAAATGTACATCCTTCTTCGTATGGTATGTCAGTGGCGTAGCGATCTTTGAGAAGTCCTGAATGAACTTCCTATAATAACTGACCAGACCTAAAAAGCTACGAATCTCTGTAATAGTCTTCGGCGGCTCCCAATCAAGTACTGCCTAAACCTTTGCTAAATCCACTACAATGCCCTCCTTACTAATGTCGTGGCCCAAAATTTGACCTCGGATAGCCAAAACTCACACTTGCTAAACTTAGCGTACAACTGGTGCTCCCGCAAAGTCCGTAATGCTAATCAAACATGCTACTCGTGCTCTGCCTCCAATCTCATATAAATAAGAATGACGTTGATGAATATGATCATAAACTGGTTCAAATATGAACGGAAAACCCGGTTCATTAAATCCATGAATACCGCGGGTGCATTGATTATCCCAAATAGCATGACAAGAAACTCGAAGTACCCATATCGAGTTAGAAAGGTGGTTTAGGGAATATCCATCTCCCGAACCCGTAACTGATGATAGCCAGAATAAAGATTAATCTTTGAAAAATACTGCACTCCCTGTAACTGGTCGAATAAGTCATCAATCCTAGGTAGTGGATACTTATTCTGGATGGTGACCTTATTCAACTCACGATAATCTATACATAAGCACATACTACTGCCCTTCTTCTTCACGAAGAGGACCGATGCTCCCCACGAAGAATGACTCTGGTGTATAAAACCTTAAGATAAAAGCTCATCCAACTGAGTCTATAGCTCCATCATCTCAGTAGGTGTCATACTATAGGGTGCTTGGGATATCGGTGTTGTGTTTGGCTACAACTTGATGCAGAATTCAATCTCTCTCATAGGAGGTAACCCAAGTATGTCCTAAAAGACATTGTACTACTCTGAGATGACTCTAGTATTGCACTAATCAGCACTCTGATCCCACAACATCACCTCCTCGATGTACGTCAGGAATTACTCCGCAAATCGGTTGCCCTATAAGGTTGCTACAATCAACTCGGTCCCATCGGACGCTCGCAAACTGACTGTTTTAGTAAAATAGACCATATGACGTAGTAGGACGATAACTAATCCATACCAACTATGACACCCCTATTTTCAAACATGACTACATTCCAAGGTAAACCCAGAGATGTCAAACCTGTCATGCACGCACACCAAGCAACAACATATTTCACCATCACAGTAATATCTCTCTAGTAAAATCAATAACCAGTGTAGGTACAAAACAGGCAAAATAAGAGTAATAAATACAACGTACATGATATAGAAAGAGATATCCAAATAAATATACTTATGTCCCAACTGAATAAAAACAAAGTATAACTGATGTCTGAAATAAATGTAAAGTAACTTAATACATAGAGTCAAATCAAGACAAACTGAGGCACTCAGCCTTCTCAAAATGAAATACAGGTCTAATGATCAACTAAACCATAAATAAATGACTGTGGAGTATTAACTACTAAAAATAGGTGACGACGACTATGTTGTAAATCCGTCAACCTACGGTTCTCCGGAACTCTGATCTGCTGCTTAAAATGAAGGGGAAAAAACAGCATCAGAGCGCTTTAGCAAGATCCTCTCCATCCACCCCAGGGGATACTAAATGTGATAGAAGCTCTATCTATAAGTGCATAGTCTACCTAAATCATTTACCATGTATCTAAATAGGATTAATATTTAGAAACCCGTAACGTGAGACGTAGTACATCGAACAAAATAATCCAAACAAGGAAACCCTCATGTATATACCATATGTCTCAAATTGTGAATCGCTAAATATCAATTTCAAACTAAGAATAAAAGATAAAGGAAAGCAATACAGAAAAGTAAAGTTGCTATAATATCATACATATCGACCATATAACTCGCGCTACCCTTGGGTAGATGATGGGGATATAAGAGCTAAATCTATTATAACTCCCAAACGCGAAGTAATCAGGTCATAATATAATTCAGCGATGAATCATATTCATAAATGGCTTTCGCCGAAGACTCTGGCTATCAGATATATCATAATACAATATCTCGTAAGGTTTTATAACTCATTGCACTATCATGCGGAACAGACTACCAAATCAGGAATCCTATATATATACACGACCCATTAGTCTCATCGCATCACCGTGCGAGACAGACTACCACATCAGATATCCTAGAAGTACGACTCTCTAGCCTTATTGCATCACTGTGCGGGACGAACTACCAAATCAGATATCCTAAAATCACGACTCAATGGATAGTACTAACAGCATATCAACGCACTATCCCAAGTAGTACTAAGATGTGCTCATTAATGATATCCATACATGCATACGTATTATAATTAATTGTTAACTCAAACATGATCGAAACAATACCTGTAATAATCCTCTTCGGGATATCCGTGTATGTGTCACAACTCAATTCGTGTACACCCATGGTTGCACCTGTGTTATCGTACGACTAAGCATGCAAGAAAAATCACCTCAAACAAAAGAAAACAAGTGTTGGTTGACTGCCCCTAAGGCATAAGTCGACTGACAGCAAATGTGCACAAAGTGCACTCAAAAAAGACCCTATCGGTCGACTGATTGCTCTCAGCCAGTTGGTCGACCAGAAAGGATTTAAATATCCTGGATGACACAATCGGTCGACTGATCCCTAAGGATCGGTCGATCGATTACAGGAAATACAAAATTCTTCCAGATTCTGTGTGTTGCACTTTTACTCAAAAATTGATTTTTATTAGCATGATTAATTAAACATGATTAACTCTATTCATTACACAAATATCGATTAGTTTAATCAAGATCACATCACCTAGGTATTATAAACTTAGGTTTTAAACATCCTAATTAATAAAAACTCTCAATTAATTAATAAACTAGGGCTTTAAACCGCATTAAAACATAAATTAATAATTAAAAGCATCCCTAATGATCATGATCAACTATACTTATTAAACAAATATTTAAATTACATATTTTTTCTTTGGTTTAAGATTTAACATCATGAACTTGGTATTAATCATCAATATTAAGCCTTAAATATCATATTAAACTTTAAGCATTAGATTAAAACAATTAATTCACTTAAAACATGGTTTTTAACCAAGGAAAAGGTTTGGGGGAAGATGATCTTGCCTCAAATGTCGTGTTGAACTCCCAAACACGTGCGTGCAAGATCCTACTTCACCAAAATTGCGAATCTCACCCTCCTCTTGATAAACGCCTCACAAACTCTCTTCACAATTTAGTGTTAGGGTTTTGAGAGAAGAGGAGGCTGCTAATAAATCACGTGAAAATATGAAGGA